TGCTGTCGCACTTAATCCAAAATAGCCTGAGGAAACCAAAGGGTTGCCTATACACAGCATTCGTGGATTTCACCTCAGCTTTTGATTTAATTGACAGGCAGCGTCTGTGGGCAAAGTTGGCAAAAACGAATGTGGACAGACGACTGCTGTTATTATTGCACCAGCTATACTCGGGAACAGATCTAAGAGTGAGGTTAGGGCTATCAGGCAAGCTATCGAACAACATTGAAACTAAAAGAGGAGTTAGGCAAGGCTGCTTGCTAGCACCTTTTTTGTTTAACTTCTACGTGAATAACCTAGTGGCCGAGTTGAGCTCCCCTGAACATTTTCCCCCAGCAGTAGGTAACAGGAGAATCCAAATCCTATTATATGCGGATGATATGGTGCTACTCTCATCTACGCAAATAGGTCTCAGGAGACTTTTGAGGTCACTAAGTAGAGTCTGTAAACAAGAGAAGCTGACAATCAATCACTCAAAAACCAAAGTGATGGTATTTTCCAAAAGGAAGCAAAGACACACCTGGAAATTGGATGGTCACTCAATAGAGCAGTGTGATAGTTTTAAATATCTGGGCTTACACTTCGCATACAACGGTAACTGGAAGAACCATATAGAGGCAGCCAAATTATCTGCCTGGAGGTCAGCGAAAGCAATCCTAGCTTTTGGAAAAACAAAGGGAGGTTCACTAGTTTGTCCCACAGTAAAGATTTTTGTCGCTAAAATTTTACCCCAACTGTTATATGGAGCGGAAATTTGGGGGCAAGGTAATGCAGAACAGGTCGAATGCATTCAGAACAAGTTTGCAAGAGCTCTTCTAGCCCTTCCCTCTGGGACCCCAGCCGCCTTGCTAAGACTGGAATTAGATCTTCCCTCACTCAAGGCCAGAATGCACAAGCTTAACATCTCGTATGGGAAGAGATTGCTAGGATTGGAGGAGGAGAGCATAGCAAAGCAATGTTTGAGGGAACAGTTCAATCGGGGTGGATGGGTGCAATCCTGGCTAGCCTTACTCCATCAATATTTTGATGGGTCAATAACATCTCTAATGCAGCTGGACAAGAAGGCGATTAGTGATAAAATCTTTGAGAAGGATGCAGCTGACAATTTGGAGATTAGTAAAAAGCAAGGTTTTTCTATATGGTACCCCAGACTAAAGAGTGACCAATACTGCCAACAATATCTCCAAGACCTAACCTCAGCAGCGTTGAGGAAAGCCTTTACAGCCCTGCGCTTCCAAACAATGCCCTCAAACTGGCTAGAAGGGAGATACAGAGGGATCCCCCATGCCCAAAGGCTTTGCATTTGTGGCGCCGGGGAAAAAGAAGATCTAACACACTATCTATTACACTGCCCTTTGTATAACGACCCCAGAAAAAATCTCCTGGGAACACTCCTTGAAGAAAGGGCAGCATGACAAGAACCTGCCGTGATTGGTGACCTACTAGCAGATTATGACAAAAATATAACACTAAAAGTAGCCACATTTGCAATCGCAGCCCAAAAGATCAGAGACAGAGTAGTAAAATCCTCGCTGGAGACCAGATAGGGAAAGGGAGATGGCTAGGGAGGACACAGACCAGACGCGGTTTTTGCTAGGTTTCTGCCAGCAAAATTTTAAAGTACTAGTCTTTTAAATCTTGAACGGGTTTTGGTTAACATTGGATTGTATTTAATGTGTATATAAAGGCTGTATGTTTTTGATGTCATGGCCTATGGCTAGTGCAATAAACTTTATTCACTCATAGGAATAAACAACAGAAATGATCAAAAGTCCCAGGAATGATCTTTGTGGCGTAAAGACCACGTGCGAAGCATGGAAGTACTATCTTTGTCAAACCAGGCTTCCAAGTCAGCAATGCCCATAACACTGAAGAAAACAATTGTATAAACTATTGCTTATTCATGATAGTAAGCTTCCATCATCCTACAAAAGTGGGAGATGGTCCCAAGGATATAACCCAGACCTTCTGTTTGTGAGTGACAGCACTGTGCAACAATGCAATAAATCAGTGGGACCCCCAATACCAAACACACAGCATCGGCAGATAATATGCCAACTGTTTCCAAGAGAAGCGGATGGCAAAGACAGAAGAACAGCCTGCCCCAGAGGAGCGTGCTTGCTTCATCAATGTTTAACATCTGCACAAATTATCAGTCACTGCCAGAAGGGACAGAGAGCTTCATCTATGCTGATGATCGTGCCATCACCGCTCAAGCATGGAGCTTTGAAACAGTCAAACAGAAGCTCACTGAAGCTTTAGGTGCTCTTATTGCCTATTACAGGGAGAACTAGCTGATTCCTAATCAATCTAAAACACAAACATGTGCTTTTCACAAGCATCTCAAGCTCTGAGGATTACCTGGGAAAGATTCCCCCTGGAGCATTGCAGCACACCAAAATACCTGGAAGTTACTCTGGACCATGCTCTAACCTACAACAAGCACAGCTTGAATATCAAGCAAAAAGTGGGTGCTAGAAATTAAAAGCCTCCTTCTTTGGAGGCTTTTAAGCAGAGGCTGGATGGCCATTTGTCAGGGGTGATTTGAATGCAATATTCCTGCTTCTTGGCAGGGGGTTGGACTGGATGGCCCATGAGGTCTCTTCCAACTCTTTGATTCTATGATTCTATGATTCTATATCATATGAAAGCTGACAGGCACAACCTGGGGATCATAACCAGACACAGTGAAGACATCTGCCCTTGCGCTTTGCTACTCTGTTGCTGAATACGCATGTGTGTAAAACATTTCACCATGCTAAAACAGTGGATGTGGCTCTTAATGAGACATGCTGCATTATCACAGGATGTCTACGCCCCACACCACTGGAGAAATTACACTGTTTAGTCAGTATTGCACCACCTGACATCCGCTGGGAAGTAGCAGCCAGTAATGAAAGGATTCTCACTTGACTATGGAAACCATTTGGGGATCTTGGAAAAGACATATTCTCTCAGCCTTGGAGGAAGGTAATGGCCAATGCTCCCTGGACAAATCTTGCAGAGAAAACCCCATGATAGGTTTGCCATAGGGCAGTCCAAAAGGCACCAGGTCCTGTCTGATCTTGGAAGCTAAGCAGAGTCAGCCACAATTAGTACTTGGATATCTATCTATCTATCTATCTATCTATCTATCTATCTATCTATC